AAAAAAAAAAAAAAAAAAAAAATCCGGAGTGGTTCCCAGCTGCAGAACAAGCTGGGACCCGTTTATTTACAGTCACCACTTCACATGTTAAAGCTCTAATTATTGGGCTTTAGTCTTCCCCTTAATTACAGGCAGGCATAAGCCCAACGAACAGTTAATTGTCGTTAGCCAGACTTCTTGGGGGGAGCTCAGGGGTACAGAACTGGGACTGCTGCAAGGATTTCTGAAAGAAGTCAAGTGGGGGAAATGCTCAGAAATCTCCATCTAATCTCCAGTGCTTACCAAAGCCGTGTACCAGTGGACACCAGGTAGCGGAATGCTACTTTGCTGGGCAGACTGGTACCAAGCAGTAGCGGCTGTGCAGCCTGGAGTGGCTATTTAACAGGCATCACTGTGAGTGTCATATGACAAGGCATATTTTTGAAAAGCCAGGTTTATGTGCTAGTTTATTTGTGACTTAAATTCATGTTGTGGTTCTCTCTTCTTATTTTATAGGTATGGGGAAAGTGGCCCATTAAGGTCTGCTCAGTGATAGGGATTTAGGTTTTATTACTTAACGAAGCCACCCAAACTTGGAGCTAAGAATATTAGTACACTTAAATTTTGAATGTGTGGGGACAAAACCCCTTTACTTTGTACGTTTTATATTGTTTTGGTTTTGAGCTAGGTAAAGCTTTTGAACAAAGCAGTGTGCCGGAAAAAGCTCAGACTGTTAAAGCTAAATAAGATTAGTTCAGCTTTAGTAGGAGCATTTCAAATGCAAGATTGCAGTCCTGCTCTCAGTGCTTTCCAAGGAGGCGGAAATGCACCCTAACTTTCTCATTTCTTACAAGATGGGTAACCTCCAGTTTTTCTGAGTAATAACAATTACGAGAGCTAAAACAACATGCGATTTTTCCATAGGAATATATGGTAGATGGGACTCTAAATGAAAATGGATAAATGCTACTGGCAAACAAGTTTGTATTTAGTTTGATCCATTGGTGACTCATGGGGGTGCATGTGCACCCCCTGAGATTGGCGCTTCCAGGGGGTGCATGGCCAGCTGTGAAATCAGAAGTGCACTTCAAGTTTTGCTGCTGGCTCAGTGATTGATTGCTGGGGACCCCTCCCCCCCAGTTAATCAGTCACTGCCCCGCCCATTGGTGATCTGGTGCCCCCCCCACACTTGGAAGGCACCAGTTGTCCATGATCTGATCTTTAAGATGACAGAAAATAGGTTTCTTTTCTTGCTAGATATATGGTAATAACACAGCTCTGCTAATGCTCTGGGAACATACTAGCAATCAGCTGACATTTTGAATAGCACAGGCCAGTACCAGGCCCAAACCAGAGGTCTTGGATATTAGATTTAAGGTGGAATTTAATTATGTAGGATTGCCTGCATAGGAGGCAGTTCTGAATAGAAGGCTATTCCTAACCACTTTAGAAACCAGTATACTTTTTTAAAAGAATAAGAATTCTCATGTTCAGTGGCTTTTTTAAAGTATTCATTATTCTCTCTGTGTGTCTGTACACTTCAGATTATTGATTAGGTACTGGGGATGATTCAGTGCAGTGACTCAGGCTTGAACCCAGGTATAAGCTTATGATGTAGCACTTGGCTCTGACTTGTCTTATTCCTAATAATATTGACTGTTGAAATGGAGGAAAAAAACAAAATGCTTATAGCTTTCAGGGTCACAAGAACCCAGCCAGTAACTTGGTATATGTGCATGTTGTGTTCAAGAGAGGGCCTGGAACATGAACTCAAATGACTGCATGGTATTAACAACTCTGTGTTCTCCCACAGAAGAGGTGCAGAGTCCCTGTGAATGGGGTTCTTTTGTCCACCAAAGAAGTACTTGGAACAACAATCTTGTATACCTTACAGTTTATAAAAGTTGCTTGTAAACGTAGTAGCAGAGTGGGGTTGTAGCCATGATGGTCCAGGAATTATGCAAGGCAAGGATTTGTTAAGGTAATATCTTTTTATTGGACCAACTGCATAGCTTTATCTCAACTATGCAGTTAGTCTAACAAGATTTTGGCCTAAGAAATCCTTGCTTTCCTTTATTTATAAGGGCACATGAACTCATACTTGTAGAACAAAATAAAGGAAGAATACAAGTTTGCTGACACATTACATAAACTGACTATAGTTTCCTGGTATTTGCCTCTGTCAGTCAGTTACTCGTAAGAAGGCTGTCTGCTAGTTGAAAAGGAACTCTACAGTATGTACAGCTAGCATCAATGAGAGAAGGGAGAAGTTGTGTTTCTCCCTAGTTGGAGATCACTTCCTCATCCCTGCCCAGGCAGGCCTGGCAAAGTACTATGTCAGCTGTGACCCTATGCCCTCAGAATCCCTCATAGAAGTTTGATAACCCTCCTTTTGGCTCCTATGCAGTTTCCAGGGTTCAGTACACTATCCATGTGTGGATCTAGGATTTTGCAAAGGCACGTGCAGATGGCGTGGTGCAGCAACACAATACACATCTTTCTTCAGTTAAAGAGAAGCTACAAGATGTACTATAGCTGTGGGCCCCACACCATATTAGTATTTAGTTTAAGGTCAAAGCGGAACTAAATACAGCTTTATTGGCATATGCAATTATTTGCTAGATACTATATCAAGTTAAAAAAATTAGAACAAACTAGGCAAAAAGGTAGTGTTTTATTAGTCCTGTAGTCATTATAGTTAAGTGTACGTCTCTTATTCAGACTGATGATACAAAACCTAGCCTTCTGGAGTATCTTGACAGTGCATCCAATACTTCACTGTTGTTCATTTCTGCACCTGAGTTAAGGTTTTTAGCTAGAACTAAAAGCAGTATGCAGGCCTGTGAAATAGGGGAGAGAGGTTATCAGGAATAGCTAACTGAAAGCAAAGAAGAAGAAAGGGTAACTGCAGAACTGGTGCCTAAATACCTGGACTGTGAGTTCTAATAAGCTATAGTACCCAGCCTATGTACTTCCTTAAACTACAAAGGACTGGCTTTTAGGGCCAGTATTACTTTACCAATGGGGAGAGAGCTTTTTCCTTATTGCCCTCCCTGTATTTTGGGTCCTAGTAGCTTGTTCTTACCTGGGCTAATAGGCTATATTAAGTGTTGAGTATATTCTTTGTATCCTGGGAATGACTTAATTTTGTTACCAAGAAATTTTTGAAGAGGAAGAGCTGTTTCTTTCTTATTAAGGAGTCTGTAGCTGCTTGCATACTCACAGGGTATGGTGCATTGGAAGCACCAGACCTGCAGGAAGCTTCTTTTCACACAAGTGGAAAGGTGGAATCTCTCTAAAGTGCATAGGATTGTGCTAGGGGTTCATCCCAGGTATAATGTCCCAGAAGATCATGGCCTGTTAGGTAAAGGATTAGAAAAGTCTAAACTATTGGAGTATATGCCACAGCAAGCAAATATTAGGCGCACATGGTCCTCTGAAGTAGGATGGAGCAGCAAAGTATGCTCCTCAAAGAAGTGGCCTGGCAGCATGTCTATACCAGAATGCAGGAATGCCAAGATATACCCTACAACTTGTTAGTGGCAGGAGTAAATATCTTCTCAGTTTTGTGAAGCATGTTGGTTTCCCAACATGGTTATTTTGCAGTACACACCAAGAGAAACCTTCTCCTGGACTGTACCCTTGGAAAGCCAGGTTGCAGGGACTGGACTATTACATGATCCACCAGGAAGAGTCCACAGAGCAGTGGCTGGAGGTGTGCTGCAGTTTGAGGTGCTGTGATTTAAAGCAATAACGTATTTTCCCCAGAAGATTCTTCACTTACAATTTCCTTTTATAGGCCTGTGTCCCAGCCATCCAATCTGATCAAGGAAATACAGATTCAGTTCCCCTTGGAGATGGACTCTGCCTTTCTGAATATCTGACACTGAAAGTTGTTAAAGAGTGATAGGAGTATCTCCTCATCTTCTTGGGGCTAACCATATTACAGGTTTGCCTTGCTTTTTGTGGGTTCTGTATATGTGAATTCGCTCTTATGTGATGACCATTTTTACACCCTAAATTTGTTATATGCGAGGAAAATTTGTTATACGTGCACCCCAGACAGGCTGCGGGACTGCGCCAGGCTCTTCCCTAGGAGCACATGCCCCTGCATCTGCGCGCAGGATGAGAGCAGGCTGCTGCTGTGGTCTGGTGGCAGCACCAGGCTCTTCCTGGCGCTCAGGGCAGGCAGGCATCCCAAAATTTACCCTAGCCCCCCCAACTTTTTTTTTTTTTAAAGCTGTAACTCTGATGATCTACTGAGGTTTTTCATGTTAAGTGTGTGAATGGTAGAAAATATTTTTAAACTTCAGATTCCTAAATGTTTAGTCTGAATTTGATTTGTCATCTTGACTTGTGTGCTTATAGTATCTTTTAGCAGTAGGTACTGTTATTTGCACATTCTTAGTATCATTTTGTGATACAGGCAAAGATAACTTTCCCAGAAACATTCATCAGGGTGGTTTTCTAGTCTAGAAACCAATCAATTTAAGAGTAAGAACATTGTAATGATAATTTGAAACATCCACAAGAGGTTATTAGTTCCTATAAGGGAAGTTATCAGAGGCTGAAAACATGAAAGTGAACATATCCAAACTAATGAAATGTCTGCTTTGGCTGTACACTTGTAACTCTGGAGAATCTATATAACTTGGGGAAGTCACCCCAGAATTACTCCAGGGCAAATCACAGGCTTACAGAAATTCTGTTCTTCTTTGTCTTTGAGTTAAATTCTATTAGTTCGTAAAAAGCAACCCAAAACACTACCAAAACTGAGGTTAACTGTTGGGCTTTTGTTTTGTTTTGTTATAGTGGGGAGGGAGAGTGTCCAACATTTGGAGATGGGTTGGCATTCTTGTTACATGCACCTCACCTGTTTATGGTAACAGAGTAAAGAAAGGATGTGTTGTGGTTCCCCATGCCTAGAGAAACTGGGTAGAGCTAATGCTAGGCCTTTCAGCTGTGATGATCATATCTGAATTTTTTTCTAGTAGCTGTTCTTTTAAACAGGAGTAAAATGTGTCTGTTTTGGTTTCTCTGAGAAGCTAACAAAAGCTTCAGATGTGAGCTACTGTAGAGTTTGTTTTAGTGTGTCTTGGCTCTGTAACTTAAAGGGAGCTTTTCACATTTCATACCTTTTCTGGCTTTAGGCTTCAGTTATGTTTGTTTTTTTTTTTTTCTACTCCTGAGTATATTTATGCAAATTAGTGTCTTAATAAAATAAGTAATTAAAGGTATTTATGAATGTTGTCGTATGAGACTCCTTGTATCATCTTTTGCCTACTAAAATTCTTTTTTATGTCTTATTGAATTGTAGCAGGGACCTTTCTGCCTTCTGTAGAGAGTGGAAAAAGGGAAATCTGCTGGCTCAGCATGTTGTGGGCCCTTATTCCTCATTTAAAGGAGCAATTTTAAATGACTAAAACTTTCCCTCTTAAAGAAGCAAGAAGCCCAAGATGATTCGGTCTGTTATTCCATTCACTCCATTCTTGCCAGGGCCAAATATCACATAGTGTACTGCAAACTTCCACTGAGAGATTGTCATGATCCCCACAATATTTTGAGGCATTTGTGGGATATCATGCATGTTTTCTTGAGTTTGTTTTACTGATGTGATCTGTGGTTTCATTGAAAAGCCAGTGTTATACTGTGATCATTTATGCTGCTTCTATCACTGTATGGATTATGTTATGCCATCTGCAAGTAATCTTTATGATTTTGGAACATAGTTTAATCCAAGGAATTGAGGAATGAATACCTAAAGAAAAGGGAGAAGGCAAAACTGTTAAGCATCTCTTGACATTGTGAGTGGCAATTTATCTTCATCTAACTACACAAACACGGGTAGGGGGGGCTGTTGTTGGGACAGGCCCCCAAGTTATTTTCTGCTTGTAACAGGAAAATTAACCCCACTATAATGAAAGCGCTCAGAGAAATGGGCCATTTAACTAAAAGAATTCCAGATGCCTCAGGAAAGAGAGACATTTCTGGGGATTCTTAGATTCAGCAGTTGAGATTATGCTGATGGGAGCAACTAGCTTGCAGGTATTTTTAGGGGCTATCTATGAGATAATCATGGTCTTTGGGGAGTCCAAGTGTCCAGTGGTCAAGGGTGGCTGGATCAGCAGGAAGGCCCGTTTCTAGAAATATTGGTAGGCCTCTCAGAAGAGCTACCTTCAGTGAAAGGTGAAGGGTCTCAGGACCTTAAGGGTTGTTACATGTTACAGGATTAAGCTTATGGACTTGACTTGGAAAGAAGGGGACTTGAAATTCTGAATTTCACTTTCTCTAACTTTCTTTGGCTGCTTCTAGTACCCACCTTTTCATATTGCACTAAAAATACTTGTCTTAGTGTTTCACCCTCTTTGGATGATTTCATTTTTGCTCCGAGTTCTCCAGCTATGTCTGTTTTATATAACTCTTCCTTATCCTTCAGAAATCAATGCTAACTCTTAAAGAACTTCTTTTGCTCTTTGACTTTTTTGGAGTGAAAGAATCTGGTACCAAATGCTCAGAGAACAACAATGCAGGGTTACAGGGGTAGTTGTTCTGTCTTTTTTGCTTCCCTATTGTGTCATGTAATGCTTCTGAATTGTCAGTATTCTTTACATTGAAGTAGGACTAATGTCCCTTTATAAAAATACTCATAAGTGCAATTAGTTTGACAATTACTCATATTATCATACCACCTAGTAATGCTCTTATTCTTGTTTCAAGCTATTTTTAATTGACAGAAATATTTCTCTGGTGAAGAGTGAGCCTGGGATCCCTATGGGTTTGTTTTTTAAACTTATTTCATCATTTCTCTGCAGCAGAACTCCCACCTCCATATACCGCCATTGCCAGTCCAGATGCCAGTGGTGTTCCTGTAATAAACTGCCGTGTGTGCCAGTCTCTAATCAATTTGGATGGCAAGCTTCACCAGCATGTTGTTAAGTGCACAGTTTGCAATGAAGCTACGGTAAATTGGGTTTTTAGCTTTTTCTGTTGTTATTGACATGCTGTTATCAATTCCTGTTACCTATAAAGGGTAGGTCCCATGTCCACATAACTACTAAAATGAACTAGCAGATAAATTTGAGGGTATTGTGATTTAAAGCTTTGCCAGAGGGTTATAGTATTTTATAATGAGAAGTGTCAAGTAATTGTAGTTGTTATTACTAACTGTGTCAATTAAAATGAAAGTATATCAGAAATATGTTAAGGAAAGTGAAAATGCTTATGGAAACAGTTGACAGATTCTTTGGGCAAAATGGAAAAATATGGCTATCTTATCTAGTTTGGTTAACACTGAAAGTGTTGAGAACATTTAGTTTTACTTAGTAATGATAACTGGTTATTAGCCCCTTCCTCTCTCCCCCCCCCCCCCCCC